ACTGGGTGTGCTCAATTTTGTTATATTTTCTATTTAGCTGTCTATGTCTAGTTAATTTCTACGTCTAGTTAACTGTCTAGTTAACACTCTAGTTTACTGTCTGTCTAGTGAACTGTCTATGTCTAGTTTACTGTCTATATCTAGTTTATTGTCTATGTCTAGTTTACTGTCTATGTCTAGTTATCTGGCTATGTCTAGTTTATTGTCTATGTCTAGTTTACTGTCTATGTCTAGTTAACTGTCTATGTCTAGTTTACTGTCTATGTCTAGTTAACTGTCTATGTCTAGTTAACAGTTTCTGTCTAGTTAACTGTCTACATCTAGTTAACTGTATATGTCTAGTTAATTGTCTATGTCTAGTTAACTGTCTATGTCTAGTTTACTGTCTATGTCTAGTTAACTTTATGTGTCTAGATAACTGTATATTTTACTCTCTATGTCTAGCTAACTGTCTATATCTAGTGAACTGTCTATGTCTAGTTAACTGTCTATATCTAGTTAACTGTATATGTCTAGTTAATTGTCTATATCTAGTGAACTGTCTATGTCTAGTTAACTGTCTATGTCTAGTTAACTGTCTACATCTAGTTAACTGATTAGTTTACTGGTTATGTCTAGTTAACTGGCTATGTCTACTTAACTGTCTAGTTTATTGTCTATGTCTAGTTAACCGTTTATGTTTAGGTAACTGTCTATGTCTAGTTAACTGTCTAGTTTACTGTCTATGTCTAGTTAACCGTTTATGTCTAGTTAACTGTCTATGTCTAGTTAACTGTCTAGTTTACTGTCTATGTCCAGTTAACTGACTATGTCTAGTTAACTGTCTAGTTTACTGTCTATGTCCAGTTAACCGTTTATGTCTAGGTAACTGTCAATGTCTAGTTATCAAGCTATGTCTAGTTAACTGTCTACGTCTAGTTAACTGGCTATGTCTAGTTAACTGTCTATGTCTAGTTTACTGGCTATGTCTAGTTATCTTTATATGTCTAATTAACTATCTAGTTAACTGTCTACGTCTAGTTTACTGTCTACATCTAGTTAACTGTCTATGTCTAGTTAACGGTTTATGAGTAGTTAACTGTCTATGTCTAGTTTACTGTCTATGTCTAGTTAACTGTCTATGTCTAGTTTACTGTCTATGTCTAGTTAACTGTCTATATCTAGTTTACTGTCTATGTCTAGTTAACCGTTTATGTCTAGTTAACTGTCTAGTTTACTGTCTTTGTCTAATTAACGGTTTATGTCTAGTTAACTGTCTAGTTTACTGTCTATGTCTAGTTAACCGTTTATGTCTAGGTAACTGTCCATGTCTAGTTTACTGTCTATGTCTAGTTTACGGTTCATGTCTAGTTAACGGTTTATGTCTAGTTAACTGTCTATGTCTAGTTTACTGTCTATGTCTAGTTAACTGTCTATGTCTAGTTTACTGTCTATGTCTAGTTAACTGTCTATATCTAGTTTACTGTCTATGTCTAGTTAACCGTTTATGTCTAGTTAACTGTCTAGTTTACTGTCTTTGTCTAATTAACGGTTTATGTCTAGTTAACTGTCTAGTTTACTGTCTATGTCTAGTTAACCGTTTATGTCTAGGTAACTGTCCATGTCTAGTTTACTGTCTATGTCTAGTTTACGGTTCATGTCTAGTTAACGGTTTATGTCTAGTTAACTGTCTATGTCTAGTTTACTGTCTATGTCTAGTTAACTGTCTATATCTAGTTTACTGTCTATGTCTAGTTAACCGTTTATGTCTAGTTAACTGTCTATGTCTAGTTAACAGTCTAGTTTACTGTCTATGTCTAATTAACGGTTTATGTCTAGTTAACTGTCTAGTTTACTGTCTATGTCTAGTTAACCGTTTATGTCTAGGTAACTGTCCATGTCTAGTTTACTGTCTAGTTTACTGTCTATGTCTAGTTAACGGTTAATGTCTAGTTAACGGTTTATGTCTAGTTAACTGTCTATGTCTAGTTTACTGTCTATGTCTCGTTAACGGTTTTTGTCTAGTTAACTGGCTATGTCTAGTTTACTGTCTATGTCTAGTTTACGGTTCATGTCCAGTTAGCGGTTTTTGTCTTGTTAACTGGCGATGTCTAGTTTACTGTCTATGTCTAGTTAACGATTTATGTCTAGTTAACGGTGTATGTCTAGTTAACTGGCTATGTATAGTTTACTGTCTAGTTTACTGTCTATGTCTAGTTTACGGTTCATGTCTAGTTAGCGGTTTTTGTCTTGTTAACTGGCGATGTCTAGTTTACTGTCTATGTCTAGTTAACGATTTATGTCTAGTCAACGGTGTATGTCTAGTTAACTGGCTATGTCTAGTTTACTGTCTATGTCTAGTTAACTGCCGACGTGTTGTTAACCATTGAGTGACTTACGGTAGTTAATCACGTCACATTTGTACAGTTATCATTATTCATACTCACTTATTATAATATTTGAAACATTTGTCTGTGCTTTGTCGATTGTTTTATTAATTTGTGACTCTTTAACATCTTCACACAATGGCCTTGTTGGATATACGAGAACATTCGTTACTTAAATGTCAGAATACTGCCAACTATCTTGCATATATCCATATACCACATACAACAAGAATAATGGAAGACGTAGGAGAGCTTGGAGGGCACTACCTATGTAGTGTTTCACTACAGCTCAGCATAACTGTCAAAAACGTGGCTCACAAAACACCATAACACCGACACAAATGTTGATATAAATTATATTTTGACATTCATTTACAAATACAACACATACAATAGATCTTTAGATATTATTGCAAGTATAAATATACAACTGGGTGTAAAATGTACATACATATATTTGTAAATATCGAAATGATGACAAAGTAATGAAAAATACTTTCTGTACATCTAAACGTTCCTGGTGTTTTTTATTTACAATGAATTGTTCATAATATTAAAGTGTAATGAATAAAATTACAACCTAATTTTACAACGAGACAATACGGTATTAGTTGTATAATCCATTAATAATTTGAGGGCACATAAACATAGGAGAAACAAGACAGTTTGACACGATTTGTTGACATTATAAATCTTTTGTTTCATCACTTTTTAAATAATTGTAGATCAGTGATGATTTATTAGAACACGTGCATATTTCAATCTACTTGCGGAATAATTACATACATAACTATATTTTATTCCGAAATCGATTTTATCGACGAAATTCTTTCTGAAGCATTCAAGATAAAACATTTCGTATCATGAAGATACAGAACAATCTGGTTTGGTTTAATCAACTACTGTTGAAATATAAAATCAGATTTAATGCGGAGGTGACTTGATGTAGATACTGACCAATGGTAAATTAAGGATTTCTTTTTTCCTAAATACTTACGAACCAATTAATACATTTGAATAGAAGCTTCCTCACCTCGTGTTTCTGATCTTTATTTCAAACATAAAAACAAAATTTCAAAAACAAAAAAGTTATATTTGATTAACTCAAATCTGTATTTTCACTAAGAAGAAATAATTCATATACTTTTCGGATACTCTACAATTTAACATTTTTCATTACATCTTCTACATTGGATTATATTTGTTACATAATTTAAGTCGTTTATCTTTTAACAAATTATCGGTTGAATAAAAGTAACATAAAACTTATTTACTAGGTCGTAATTACTACTCAAATCGCAAATATACTTTTTAATAGCAACACATTTAATCTTAGGTATTTCCTGAAACTTCTAAATAATCTGCGGTACTGCCTTGGTCCTCGATATACAAAGATAACAGGGTCGTCTGCTCCCCCAGGGATTTATACAAGTGGTGTGAATTTGCTTGCACGAGAGGTTCCACTATTAACGACAGGCGCTTCCGTTAGCTGTCGCTTAGGAACGGTGTTACCGGTTTGTCGGCATCGCAAACACTCCCATTCGAATGCATAATTGGTACATTGCAGGATTGAAAAACACATTGACATTTTTTTCCTGTAGATTAGCTGTTTGTATACAAATATATATAATTTCAAAAGTTGAACTCCGCAACTGGAAAAATGCAATTCAGCTAAGTTCGTTTTCTCGTCCGTCGCTTTTCCAATTGACTAGAACGGATAATACAGAAAGATTCTCGCAAGACATAAACCACGCAAGTTTACTAGGGCTTTAGCGCGTTTCAAAGGCAGTGTCTAAACAACTGTTGTGAGCCGGAGAGAGACTTTCAGGCTTTATGTTGTAATAACTGGAGAATTCATTACTCTCTGTCTTTGATCACAACTTGCTATGTGTTATGCCGATGCCAAATAAAACTACTAGCGTTACACATGTTAATTGCTGTCGGCTTGCAGAGCGTGGACTCCAAGTCAATTACAAGAGTATAATATCTTTTATCTGAATGATAAAAACAGTCGTTTGAGAGGGAAATGAAGTGGGTCTAATAAAGGCTTATTTGTCTTAGTTTGATTTGATCAGACAGGTATCTCCCTTGACACAAACAAACTCTTAGAGGGAAGAGAGGGGTCAGAAACACGACAGCCCGATCCCTTCAATTGGATCCCCACTTGGTCTGGAGTCCACAACAAATCAAGATAATGGTTACTTTACAGTAATAAAACTACCGTTTGTTATTTTGCAGCTTTTATGACAGTGTTACTGTAACTACATCAAAAATAAAGTACAATTAAAAGTAATTGAACATTTGTCACAGTTTCCTTTGATAATAGAAATAATAGTGATATAATTACTTCAATAGGAGTGACTAGATCTAAATTGGAAGATTCACGTGTAACGTATCTCTATTTTTCGTAAATCACAACCTTTTTTCGTTACGAACACGCTACCACAAGAACCACGTAGTCTATATTCGAGAGATTTTCCACATTGTATAACAATTTTACTTGTGTAGACAGCATTTTTTTAAAAATAAACCCTGTGTTTTACCTTGTAAACCTCAAACAGTTTATAGTGGGTCTTTTTTTTTGGGGGGGGGGGGGGGGGGGGATAAAGGTTTATTTTAGNACATAAGCTGGTACACTCGAAATTACTTACTTACTTATTAAAGGTATAAACTACCGTCCTTTGTCAAATATCTCCATTCCAAAAGTGGTTATAAGAAACATAAAAAATATATATGAACACCAATTTTGAATTTTAAAATCAAGGGACATACTCTAACCGACATCATATTAAGAACTTAAAGTGTTAGGTGGCATGCTCCTTAATGTCGCGTCATCGATATATATTAAAGACAATATATCTCTCTGATCTATGATCACCAACAGATCGCGTGCAGTCTCGCGGCCACGTTCACTGTATCTATCGATAGCAAGCAATTAGTGATGGTGTGATCTGGTGTTTGGTTAGCGATGATTGAAAATAAAACATTTAACGAAATAAAATACAAACAGTTCGAATGTACACAATCGACGAAATAAAAACTGTCTGATAAACACAGTTATAGCCCTAATAGAGACGCTGTGTTCTTATCTAGGCTGATTTACCAAGTAAAACAAAGTGTAACATTTTCACAATATATAAAATTATCCATCGGGAGGCAACAAGTTGGTGAGCTTGCTATTTTCAGCTCCAGGGTATTGAATCCGATGAGGTGTATCCGGTGGACATGCGCTTCAGCTGTTGCTTATATTGTCATAACAACTAACTTGTTCGCGTGTCATGCCGATTCATACATGACGTCACATCCGTTTTGATGTCGTATTAGACATGGTAAGTACTTATTGGGCCCTGAATCACATTTTTAACAAAGTATCCATCACGCGCATGCGTCAATATCATTTACACGTGTATTTGTCAATGAGCGTTTCACATTTTTTACACTGCACGTCACAACACCATATAAACTTACAGTGACAGCGTTCGACGTGCCTCAACACTTGAGTATTATAGCCCCTCCCACAGCAGAGTAGGTCACAGCTCTCTGGCCCAGTCATTGTCTTGTTACACAAGCGACCCCGCGTTCCAAGAATCCCCTTTTTAGGGTTCGGTCGACAGTAATTTGGAGACCGATGGACGTACACTAGATTATCGGCGTCCACCGGAACGTTCCGTTTGGTCTTGTCTCGTCTTCGAAGTCTTTTCCGTGCTCGTCTAGCGATTCGTACTGACCATTCATATTTCGCTTTCAGTTTTTCGCCGACTAGCTGGAAATCCGGTAGACTTTTCCAGCACGTTTGTACTGCGCATGACCCAGACACTCCATGACAACGACACCGAAGCTTCATTGCCGACTGTATGACCTGTAATAAATAAATATTCATATAGAAATATATATTGTTAAAATACATGCTAGAACTAGATACTAAGACCCGTATGCAATATATGGATTACATATTTGAAACGTAACATGGGAGTAACGGGTTATCTGTCCCTGAACGAAGTACTCAACCAAACAAACTATCTCGATTTTCTATATTTTCTTATTATTTAATATATCATTATATTAATAATTACTAATATCAAGTTAATAGACTAAACCAGAAGGAGGAACTATTACGATTTTGACAATAATTAAGTAGCAGATTAAAAACTGGTATGAATCACGCTTTCCTAAATTGCATTACACTCTTCATAAAGGTCATTGATAGTTATCCTCCCCTGGATAACAAGATGCATATTATTGCAGTTTAGACATTAACCACAAGAAATATTTCGTCGCAACTGATTAAATGTTGATACACAAAAAATAAAATGACGAAAGATTTAATTTCCGACAATCAGTCCTGAATTTCCTGTAGATCTCGAGAGGATCAGCCAGCCATCAGCGCGGAAAGATTGCATGCTAAAAGTGAACAGGCAATCCCTACGCGGAAAGCTGCTGCAGATACACTAACGATTATGTACGGTACAGCGGAGCCCGTAATACCATGACAGCGTCTGATTAATCACAGATAAGTAAGTAAATTAGGGCAGATTTAACGATATAATCTCGGATATAATGATAGGGTCTTACCAATGTCATTACGGCAAACCGTTTCAAATGAACCACCTTCTAGTTATTTTTATCTTTCCTGGAACTGCTCGTTTCGTTTAATTCTTATATTTCTCATGGATACGTATAGCTCCTAATCATACTTAGACAAGATATGTTTACAGCTAGTAACCCCGAAAGATAAACGAATGAATATTCAAATACTGTTTATGGTTTTAATTCGGCAAACGTCCTGTTTGGGTTTCTGAAGATTTTTTTTAGATTATATTTGGATCTAAAATGTCTGTAGTTACTGAATCGTCTCATTTACTCAAGTACTTATTTTCGCAACTAGAAGATATGAATTCGCGAAACGATTGTTAAACATTTATTTTTATAATGTATCTTAAGCCTATTCACGAGAAACAAAATCTATTATCGTCTCTCCGTCTCTCAAGAAAGATAAATAATTTTCAGGAAATGCAGGCATCTAATTTACACAAAAATGTTTTTTTACAGTAACATAGATAGTCATACAGATTAAAAGTCTAGAGCAATATTCGCCGCATTCGCGATCCTATTCTTCTGTTTTGTTCTTTTGTGTACATTTATTTAGTTTAATGTGTGACAGTACTGCCTTTAATGATGATCCGCTCTTTTGTCTAGTCTCCTGCATCGGGGCTTCTGCATGATTCAGGTTTCTCTCATTGAAGAAATCCAAATTGATGTTGAAGTATATCAAGTATTTTGTCATGATTGTTGTTGTCTTTTAGTGTTTGATGTTTTTTGTCACGATACCCTGGTGTCAACATGTTGTAACAAAACCTGGACATCAATTTGTCCACACCATATAAAATAGGATAATAAAGTCACTACGAGTCATCATGAAATAAACATTTGTAATGTGTGAGCAGTTCAAATTATAAGAGTCCTAGATAACAGGAGTCAAACATATACCTATACCATTACATACATACTCTTAAACCATGTGCTGTGTTGGGGAGGTTGCTTAATTTAACGTGCACTGCTGTTCGTGTTTATTTAATTCACACTAAATGCCGATTACATTACAATCATTTCTTTAGCTAAACTCAATTTTTTTTTACCTACAAATGATGTGCTCCTGACGTATGGCCTCAGTAATAATAAGGTTCGTCTATGGGCCGTAAAGATGCCATATACTCATTGCAACGCAAGCACATCTTGTTTTTCATTTACAAAAACCTTAATGTGGTAAACGAACGCCTCTCACAATTGGTGCCAGACCTCGTGGAAGGTCATTTGTCTTGTGGTAGAGGTTACATAAATACAAGACAATCTGCACTTTAGGCCTCACAGTCATAACGCTACCGCACTTGTTAACTCTTTGGACACGATTTCTCAGAAAACAATATAGTTTAAATTGATGTGTTTCACCAGATTGTATTACATTACAATGCATGCATTATGGTTGTTTTATAAAAAAAGGAACTCTGTTGATCTTTTTCGTGTTTAAGATGGAAAATATTAGGAATTGAAGTAAAATCTTTTCATAAATCACATTTTTTGATTAGAACATATTATTAACGTTATATGTGTATAGATCTCGCAAATATTTAAATTATGTAGGCAATAGGTAACGTTAGTGGCTAAAGTATGCAGGCAATAGGTAACGTTAGTGGCTAAAGTATGAAGGCAATAGGTAACGTTAGTGGCTTAAGTATGTAGGCAATACGTAACGTTAGTGGCTAAAGTATGCAGGCAATAGGTAACGTTAGTGGCCAAAGTATGTAGGCAATAGGTAACGTTAGTGGCTAAAGTATGAAGGCAATATGTAACGTTAGTGGCTAAAGTATGTGGGCAATATGTAACGTTAATGGCTAAAGTATGAAGGCAATAGGTAACGTTAGTGGCTAAAGTATGAAGGCAATAGGTAACATTAGTGGCTAAAGTATGTAGGCAATAGGTAACGTTAGTGGTTAAAGTATGTAGGCAATAGGTAACGTTAGTGGCTAAAGTATGTAGTCAATAGGTAACGTTAATGGCTAAAGTTTGTAGGCAATAGGTAACGATAGTGGTTAAAGTATGTAGGCAATAGGTAACGTTAGTGGCTAAAGTATGTTGGCAATAGGTAACGTAAGTGGCTAAAGAGACAAATGTAAATGAAAAATGAGACATTTTCGAGCAAATATCTCGACACTTTGAGATTCTGAATAACTTCGTAGGTATGCAATTTCTCTCTAATCTAAAGAAATTTCAGTCAGACGGTACATGTGTCTCATATACATGATACAGAGGATTCCAGAAAAAAAAGATATTCCTGGCATTACGCCAAATAACTTTCATTACATAATCACTGCATTGCACAATAACGATGTTAAGAAAAATGTAGTTATAAATGAAATGAAATTATAAACTGTTTTATGCTTTCAAAATTGCATGTGGTTCATATTATTGTCATGTGTTTAAATAAACCTTCTTAATGTCTAATTTGGAAAGTTTTTACAAAGAATGGGATGATACTGTATAAGAATTGCCACATATCGCGATAGTAATTTACTTTCCAATTAACTTCACATAGCTTAACGTCGTGAATATATTTATTCTTAAACCGAGTCGGTAATGCACGTGGCCTAAATCAGAACCCGTTGTTGGGACTGGAGGAGGAGGATTATGTCAAAACAATTCGTACAAATTTCAACTCAGATTCCGATCTAAATTCGAAATGGACACTAACCTTCTTCATGATGTAATTTCGCGTGCCATTCAATCCTTGGTGAGTTACGTTAAGTGTTAAACATGCTTATCTTCACATCGTATGTATATAATCCAACTAGTGCCAGAAATCACAACCGGTCCCGGAGATTCAAATTAAATCAAGATACTATTAATCCAGGTTTTTACACATGAAATCTGCCAAACCGTGGATGATAAATGATTGTTCATGATAAAAAAACAATTATTGGATAAATTAGAAACATGAATAGTAACACTTAAATTTATTTGGGATCCGGAACAATTATTCCGGATGTAGTCTTGTATTACAACAAGCTTAAATTATAAGATTAATCATGCCTCGAATCTCTGTCAAAAAATGTTACACTTTAGAAAAAAGCATTAAAATGTAATTTTATATAATTTCTTGCATGACATGCATAATATGGTTGATTGAATTGGTTAAAACTGACAACATCAGTTCCGGTTCGGATTTATTTTTCAGTTTATACCTATAATACGTGCCATGTCAATCTCCCGACAAATGTTCTTTGGAAACAGATGAGCGTACGCCGCACTTTAAGATCTGGCTTATTGAGAATATAAAAAGGATAAGACAACGTTTCTACAATTATCGTAATGTTTTATTAATTATGCAAGTCAATTTCATGTTTGCGTTATATAGTTAAATGAATAATTCCTGGGTTTTTGTTAATAGTCTAACAACAGTAATCTCTATGAAGTTATGTCATATTTAGCTATAAAATCGTGGGGGTATACAAAATTAATGTTCCTCCAAGCAGGTTAGTATCTCAAAAGTTCCATTCATAATTTGATATAAAAAGATGATAACATTAATTCTCTTTAAGTTTTTAAATAATAACGAGTGCATCAAATACACCGATATTTATAATGCCGTGCCTCAACGTTATAGCTGTGAGTTTTGCAGTGTATATTGTAAATAAAACTGCACAAAAAACGGTATTACCATCGGATGTGCAGTTGTATCACGTAGCTGTTGACTGCATGCATCCCTATACCCCTGGAACCATATTGCATTCACCTAACAGCTGACAGAGGTTTTTCATCCTTGTCTAATGAATACAAAAAACTAGCATTGAACTTAATTTTACGACTAAATGTTGCGAATGTGAGAATACGACCACAGATAAAATAATACAAAAATACATTAATGTTAAAAAAACGTATAACCGGGATAGTTTGCATATATACTTAACACTTTGAAAACTAAATTTGTTTTACTAATTATTCATGATCCAACATCCAATATGATAAACATAGACAAACGTTCCGGAGTTAGTATTTCTGTTGTATGTTTCGTGTTGTTCTTGCCCAGGAACCATGTAATAATCGTTTCTGATTTGACGAATTCTACCCTATTTTTTTTTAAACATTGGGTTTTATATAGGTATTGTATAACGTTGTAATGGTAATCAATCATATATGTCATTTTCAATATTCAATTTATGGAAGATATATATGAATATTTAAATTCCGCGTTTATAAATATTAATTAAACGTTCTAAAATCATATCTACAGTCAATAGACATTGTATTTCACACTTAAGTTATTAGCGTAATATTCTTCAATATTGAATCCATGAACTTAATCAA